GGAAGGGAGAGAGGGAGGAAGGAAAACTAGAGGAGAAAGAAGGGAGGAACGTGGGAGGGAATGAGGAAGGGAGAGAAGAACGGAAGAAGGGGAGTGGGAGGAAGGAAGGAAGAGGGAGGGAGGAAGAGAGAAAGGGAGGGAGTGAGGATGAGGGAGGGAGGGAGGGAAAAGGGAAGGAGAGAGGGAGAGAGGAATGAGAAGGAAGGAAGGAAAAGGGAGGGAAGAAAAGAGGGAGGAAAAGAGGGAGGAAGGAAAAGGAAGGGAGGGAGGAAGGAAGGAAAAGGGGGAAGGGAAAAGAGAGGGAGGGTCCCACCAGGAGCCCCCCGGCCACTCAGGCCACTCACGAGCGTTGCTGTCAGCCAGGCTGTTGAGGCTGCTGGAGATGTCCCTCCGTCGGAAGAGGCAGACCACTTTCGCCTCCACGTTGCCATTGGCCGTCTGGAAGGGGAGAAACGCTGCTGGCCAATCAAATGCTCCACCCTAGAGACCCCCCACCCACCCCCAAGCTCCGTAGTTACCCCGGTCCCGACTCGGATGCAGCGGATCCGCCTCTCCCGGGAAAAGCAATCGCCCGCCCGCCAGCCCAACCCCGTGCGACCCCTACCTTGTTGAGCTCCTCGATGCGACGGACGAGGTAGGGATTGCTGGAGGAGTTCTCAAAATAGACATAATCTGGAAAGAGGAGAAAGCAGAAGGAGCGAAGTGAGGAGGAGGAGGAGGAGGAGGAGGAGGAGGAGGAGGAGGAGGAGGAATATAACAACCCAAAGGGACATTTTATGGAGAAGAGCAAGAAAGAGGACTAGGGGTCCGAAGGCGAAGAATTGGGGAGGTCTCTAGTTGAATGAAAAGGAGGACCAGGGAGAAGACGGCAGCAGCCTTCCAATATTGGAGGGGCTGCCCCAAAGAAAGAGGCAGTCAAGCCATTCCCCATTGCTTGCACGAGTCTCTTTTGACATCGAGGGTTTGGCTCAGACTTGGGGGCCTGTTGAAGAATTTAACTTTGCAATATGCCAAAAAAAAAACCAACCCTGTCTTTTCAACGTTCCATACCAAGAGCCCTAAACTTACAGTGCCTGGACAACGGTCCTTGACTTAGGACCACAACTGGGATCAGGACAACTGTCCTTGACTTAGGACCACAACTGGGAGCAGGACAACGGTCCTTGACTTAGGACCACAACTGGCAGCAGGACAACGGTCCTTGACTTAGGACCACAACTGGCAGCAGGACAACGGTCCTTGACTTAGGACCACAACTGGCAGCAGGACAACGGTCCTTGACTTAGGACCACAACTGGGAGCAGGACAACGGTCCTTGACTTAGGACCACAACTGGGAGCAGGACAACGGTCCTTGACTTAGGACCACAACTGGGAGCAGGACAGCTGTCCTTGAC